TATCCTGAATCTCCTCGAAGCGGCTGGCATGGCATATTAGCCTGGTCCTGGAAGCGCCGCAATTCAGACCTACCTCGAATCCCCGACTTTGTCGTCGTCATCGCCCTCGAGGCCGAGCTCAGAGGGAACCTCGTCGAGGTCAAACTCATCCCCTTCAGAGTCTTCATCTTCCTCGTCAGGGTTCTGCTGGATGTAGTTGCCGTACAAGTGGACATGGCTAAGTAGATACGAAATTAAGAAAATTTTCGGCCAAACAAATGAGCAAACTTACTTCTTTCCCTTAACCACAAATTCAATCTCTTCGCCTTCAGGGAGCACGAGGTCAAGAGGCTGTTGCTCCACCTATATCGATCAGTTAGTGGTGATCACGACTCCAGTGCTGGTCTCAACTAACCTTGCCTCCAGTCAGTGCGCAGAGAACAAATTTGTGCATAGGAGGCGGCTCGCTACCGTCTTCCTCATCTGAGAGTTCATAGTCCTCGGGAATTTTGATCACGACCTCAACGACTGTGCGGCCGTTAGGATCATCAAGGTCGGCAGCGAGCGAGGCACCAGAGATGCGAATATCATTCTCAACGGTGTAGACATTACGCTTGTTAGGCTCGAGGTCTTGGGACCAGATTGCGACGGAGATGGCCATGGTGGATGGACGATGTGGACGAGCTGGATTAAAATGTGACAGGCAAAATTGATTTGATTTATATACGAGCAAAACATCACGTGATATGTATTACAAATGGAATCGCTAAATCCAGGCATATGGTACGGCAAGAAAACTTATGACTGTTCAAAGTATGCGAATGCAGAGGGTCTCTTCCTTTGGGATTGAGGCTTGGGTTTATTCGTCTCGTCAGCCGAAGAATCCGCCTCTTCGTCAGATGATACGATTGTAACAACCTCGCTCGCACCGTTTGCCTTTGGTTTCGGCCCTTGCGATAAGTCAAGCGTGATGGGTTGGCTGCTCAAGCGCTTCTTCTGTTCCTTGCGCGAGCGTTGCTGATCGTCGTGCTTTTTCTTAAAATTGCTAAATCTGGGTACCGACTCGGATCCTATTGACTTTCTGCGTTGCAGTACGTTGGAAGGCGTTTGTTGCGATAACGATAGTAGCTTGCCAGGTGCTGGTGTCGATGCAAGGGGAGACGAGGGAGGGAGAAACCTCGGTCCTAAGCCGGAAGATGGCATGAACAAAGGTTTGGCAGATGCGCTACCATTCCTCGTATGGCGACCTGGGGTGGGCTTCACAGCTGACTAGGGATCGATACTACTTAGCGCGGCAACTATCAATCCCTACGTGATAGACATACCCGAGATCCTGATGGTTGCTTTCCATTTCCATCCTCCCCAGCTTCTGTTGCACTCCACTCAATCTCATCGGCCTGCGAACTTCCAGGCCGACTGGACGAAGGATTTTTCAGAGTCGACCAGATAGGAGGAACCAGCAACTCGGTTGTTTCTTCAGGCGCATGAAACGACTGGTGCACCGTCGTGTCCTCGTCCTCGTCTTCACCCTCATCGTTGTCGCCGTCATCCACAGGCGTGCTGGTATTTGCTCCTTTCCCCTTTGCAGCCTTCGCAGCAGCCTTGGCGGTCTTCTTCTCGAGTCTCTTGATGGCCTTTTCGGCGCGAATACGTTCCTTCTCCTGTTGTCTCTCAGCCTTGGTGGTATCTGAAAGTCTCGGACGACCCCGTGGCCTAGGACCTTGCGACCCAACAGATGCAGTGCTCGTATCAGCTCCTCCCTCCACCGGTTTCTGCTTGGGAGGACGCCCACGCTTCCTCGGAGCGGAAGGGTCAAGTCCTTGTGAGGCTGCCTTTTCGGCTTGTATGCGCGCTTTTTCAGCCGCACGCTCGTCCTTGACTGATTGAGGGAGCGGGGGACGGCCCCGTTTCTTGGGGGCCGGGGAAACTGGTTCAAGTTCTTGCGCTGGTTCGGGTTCGTCCTGAGCGGGTTCAGGTCCCTCCTCTTGGCCGGTTTCTACGACTTCCTCCTCTACCACAACGGGCTCTTGGTCCGGAGTTTCGATCGGTGAACCAGCATCGCCACCTGGAGCCTGCTTGTTCTCCTGCTCTTCGTCCTCATATTCTTCGATATCATCCTCGTCCTGTTCTTCATCCACCACACCGACAATTTCTTCAGGTATGTTCTGAGACGAGTCTAGAAGCTGAGATAGCGTCGTAAGCTCCCGCTCGTCCCCAGCATCACGCATTTCGACATCGCCATCATCTCCGTCCTCATATTCTTTCTGGGCCTGGACCTGGGTCTGTGCTCGAGCGGCAGCCTCTTCGTCCGAGTCCTCAACGTCCAACCGAACGCTCTTCCGATGCCGGCGCCTTGCAACCTCTGAAGGTGTCGACTGGGCAAGGTCACTTCCTTCCTCACCCGAACTATCTCCATCTCCATCCCCAGCCTCTTCGCTTTCCAAACCATCCAACAATGCGCGAAGGCTCGACTGGGACATGCGTTGACTTTGAAGTAGGGCCTTTGTAGTGGGCGAAGAAGACAGAGGTAACGGAACAGAGGCAGCTTTGGGTGAAGGGGTGGGTGTGGGCGTAGAAGGTGGAGTCGTGTCCTTATGTAGTTCAGGTGCGGGCGCGGGTTCGGGCTCAGAGGCGTCGTCCATTTCTTCGTCTCCACCATCATCATCCTCGGTACTCTCAACCCGACTCTCCATAACGCTCTTGAGAATGTCTTCATCCTCCGTCGAACTGCCTTCCGACTGATGGCTCACAGCAACGGATGACAGCTTCGACTTTTTCGGACGAGTCGGGACGGGCGTGGAGTGGGTGGGCGACGAGCTCTTTTGGACAGGCGGCGCAGGACTGGAAGTAACAAATATATTCTGTGCCTAGCATTAAAAATATCAACGATATACATCAATTATCCACACATAATAAATAAAATTTAGGCCAAAGTACGACGAACCTCGACCTGCTTTTTGAAGTCCTTCATCCACCTACGCAGGCTGCCGATTAGCATTTGGTGGATCCTGGCGAACCCTTGGGTGTCTTGCAGGTTTTGAATACGTTCTTCCACGATTTTAGCGGATTCGGAGTCCCGTTTAGATAGAATTGGGCATTCGAGTGATTCATGCGGACCAGAAGAACACACAAGACATTGAGCCGTCTCGGCGGGACTGGGGGCGGGGGCGGAGGTAGCAGTAGAGGTGTCATCCGCAGTTTGGTCCTTCTTCTTCCTCTTCCTCTTGGGCTTGGTCTTCGTCTCGGTGCTCCGGTCCACCACATCGATAGTAGTCGGTGGACCAGCCCCCGAACTAGAGGCCGTCTCGGTCGCAACACTGCGATCTCCCCATCGTCGAAGGATATCCGCAGCTGAACCAATGCTGCTAACCGGCTTGTCTGGATCCGGGAGACTCAACACTGTCGAACTCCTTCGTTCGGACCTAACTGGAGGCGGAAGAGTAGTCGCAACAGGACTTTGTGACCCGCTGGTCGTATCTACGACGACGTCTGCCTTAGACTTGCGCTGCTTTTTGGTTGGAGGTTCAGCAGTTCCAGTCGTTTCGGGAGCAGTGGGCTCTTGTTGCTCGACATCTTGAGCGGCTTTATGCCCGCGCTTTTTGGGTCGGGGCTGGGGAAACTCGGTATCGGCAGGAGATGTCTCGGGTATAGGTTCAGTCGTGGCGGCAAGACTAGTCTCAGGAGCGGGAGTAGTTGCAGCAGCCTTTTTGCCCTTTTTGGGTTTGGGTTGAGCAGATGGGGCTTCTGCAG